CCATTTATCCAACTGTCCATCCAGAGCCGCCATTTATAGACCGGATACATCCTAAATATAGAGCCATTTATCCAACTGTCCATCCAGAGCCGCCATTTATAGACCAGATACATCCTAAATATAGAGCCATTTATCCAACTGTCCATCCAGAGCCGCCCGAATGTAGCAAAAAACTACCCACCCGGCACCTGGAACTACATGTCCCGGGCGTCAGGCGATAGGAACTCCACACACCTGCTGAAATAATATCTTCTGGCTGGGGTTGGCCTTAAAATTGAATCTCTGGTTTCCCTTCAGAAAGACCTCTAAGTAGTATGAACTCTGGAGGAACTCTGTGTAGACATTATTCATCCCGGGACAGTCCAGATCATTCTCATGTTATTATCCATCTACAGAGAGGAGAGTCCTGCATGGATCACATGACCACATCAATGATGACCATAGACAAAGACCTAAGTCACATGACTGAGAAGATATTACAGCTCACCCTCGAGATGATCTACCTGCTGACCGGAGAGGTGAGGAGGATTCTGGGAGGGTGTATCAGGTGAAGATGATGATATGGGGGAGATTCTGGGAATGTCGCAGCTTGAATTTTAGTAAGCATTCACATTTCTCATGACGTCTCTCCGTAGGGTTACACAGTGGTGAAGAAGACATCCGGTGAGAGTGTGACCTCCAGCAGACATCACCGTGTGTCAGAAGGACGGAGAGGAACACAGAACCATATCCTTGTCCCTTCAACCATGTCCCTGTCTCCTCTATGTGACAACAAGAAGAAGAAGTTTCTAGAATTCACCAAGAAGATGATTGAGCTGCTGACGGGAGAGGTGAGCGGTGCCGGGAATTCTGGGACATGATCCAGGAGCAGATTCCACCTAGATCCCCCATCATCTGATACACACATAGAAACAATGTATTCAGTCAGTGTGTGTGTTTCCTACAGATGGATCCAGTAAGAGGAACCCCCCAGAGAGATGTCCCCGTCCTCTGTATTCCCGGGATCCCACACAGGAAGATCTCACCGTCCCTCACCATGATCAGGTAGATAGGACTTTATTCCTTTTTCTCCGTCTCCTCTTGTTCCTTTTAAAATGCGTTCCATCATCTTTGGGGTTTAGGGTGAAGAACTGAAAGACATTAAAGCTGAGGACAAAGAGGAAGGAGAGATGTTGGTGAGTGGAGATCAGCAGTCCATACAGAATGACGGTCCTCTATATTCTCGGGGTTTCTTCAAGAAAGATCACAGCTGTACGCGCCAGGATCAGGTAGATGGGACTGAACCATGGAACTCAGAAAACACTCTTCCGTCTGATCTCATCTTCCTTCTCATAAATCTGTTCTATCATCTTTGGGGTTTAGGGCGAAGATCTGAAGGACATTAAAGTTGAGATAAAAGAGGAAGAAGAAGAGACGTTGGTGAGTGGAGCTCAGCAGTCTATGGAGGAGGGGGAGATGATGGTGAAGAGTGAACAGGAGGAATCTTCTCTACATATGGACACAAGTAAGTCATAAACACTTTGTTAGTTTTTTTTGGCCCATTCCATTCCTTGGCTAAGTCCAGATGGGAAGCGATGGTGGAATTGAGGTTGCAGGTTTGAAGTTTACCAAAGACTGAAAGTAAAGATAAAGGTCTCATAAGAAATTCTTAAACTTTACTCCCTCCAACATGTCCTCTGTCTCCAAGCTCTCTTCTAGCATGCGTACAATCTCCGACCCATATATTGTAGTAGTATCAGTCTATTTTCTACAGCATTTCATATGCACAATATTATGTTCCACCATTTTGTGGTTTTACGGGCCACACTTGAGACCATCAGTATCGAATAAGCTGACCGCCACTGTTTCTTCTCTCAGCCATGAAGGAGATCACACAGGAGAGAGGTCATTGTGTTGTTCGGGGTGCAGGGAATACTTTAGGATGAAATCTGAACTTCTTCTACATTTCGAAACCCACAACCATGTGACCTGTTCATGTCCAGAGTGCGGGAAATTTTTCACTGAGGAAAGCGAGCTTCTTAAATACCATAACAGTCATGAGGATAAGAATCCTTATTCGTGTTCAGAGTGCGGGAAACGCTTCAGTAGGAAATTATACATGATCAGACACCAGAAAATTCACAAAGGTGAGCGCCCTTATTCATGTTCAGAGTGCGGGAAAAGTTTTTTTTGTAGAACAAGCCTTCATAGACACCAGGTAGTTCACACAGGTGAGCGCCCTTTCTCATGTCCAGAATGTGAAAAAAGTTTTACTAGGAAAGGAGCTCTTCTTATACACCTTCGAATTCACACTGGTGAGCGTCCGTATTCATGTTCAGAATGTGAAAAAACTTTTGCTAGGAAAGAAGACCTTCAAGGACACCAGAGAATTCACACAGGCGAGTGTCCGTATTCATGCTTGGTGTGCGGGAAAAGTTTTACTAGGAAAGGAAACAGTCTTAGACACCGGAAAATTCACTCAAGTGAGCGTCCGTATTCATGTTCAGAGTGCGGGAAATGTTTTACTGACAACGGAACTCTTCTTAGGCACCAGAGAACTCACACAGGTGAGCGTCCGTATGCATGTTTAGTGTGCGGGAAAGGTTTTCTAAAAAAAGAACAACTAAAGAGACATCAGACAATTCACACCAGGTGAAACACCTGACCAATGTATTTTTGCATTTTTTTGGAACTTCATTCAGATCAACGGGATGAGCTTCCATCTGTTCCAATCTCAGTTAAAGCAGCTTAACAAGTAAAACTTTTTATTTAATTTAATGCTATTTAACACATTGTGAACCCTACATTTTCCTAGATGTGAACCCTACATGAGCCCTCATTAACTCCTTCCTCCCCTTAACTATAATTAGGGATGCACCTTTACCAATACTGGTATCGGTGCGCATACTGAGCATTTAGGGGAGTACTGGCACTCGCCCCAAATGCTCCAATACTGGATCTTACGGTCAAAGTAGGATTCTCTCTGACCCGGTATTGCCGAGAGGGATCATGGAGACGGCTTTCCGGCCAATCAGGAAGCCAAGGGGTGGTTCATGACCCACCTCCCGGCTTCCTGATTGGCTGGGAAGCCGGCTTCCCGCTGCCTTGTGACACAGTGTTTTGAGGGAGCGTGAAGCCGGCCTCCCAGTTAATGAGAAAGCTGGGCGGCGGGCTGGCCGTCTTCCTGATTGGCCGGGAAGCCTATGCTTAAAGATCATCCTTGGCTATGATTTTCCTACTGATTTTTATTTCTACTGAAACATTAATTTTAAATATTTTTGTAATTTTTAGTCGTTTTGTTGTGTGATTTTTATTTTTTTATTGTCATAGAAAATGAAAAACAAATATACAAATTGTGGAATGTGATGTACTTTTTTTTTTACATAATAGGAGTAGGGATGTCCCGATAACAATTTTTCAAGACCAAGTACAAGTACTTTCCCCTCAGGTACTCGCCGATCCCAATTACGGATACTTTTTCTTAAAGGAACATGTGAGATTTTTTCTAAAACAATAAACACTAAAGATTTTAGGGCAGTTTCTCACCAGACCTAAGTACAGAGGTCCCCGGGGCTGAGTACAGAGGTCCCCGGGGCTGAGTACAGAGATCCCCGGGGCTGAGTACAGAGGTCCCCGGGGCTGAGTACAGAGGTCCCCGGGGCTGAGTACAGAGGTCCCCGGGGCTGAGTACAGAGGTCCCCGGGGCTGAGTACAGAGGTCCCCGGGGCTGAGTACAGAG